AGTCAAGTCTAGTCCGAAATATTTGGTGTCGGCGTCAGGACTAGTCAGTGTCTTATGAGGTAGTATAATGACGGGACTAGACTAGTCTAAGAATTTTGAAATATATGTTTGGACTAGTCTGAGAGATCCTGAGCACCAGTCAAGACTACCATGTTTTACTAGAAATGACATGCTGTCTGAACAAGACTAGTCCGAAATTCAGTACGACATTTTACATTGATAGTTGGTTATATCTTTAATACTTGTCAAGTCTAGTCTAATTACACAAACTTAATGTAATTTTGAGTTTGCACTAGTTGCTTGTTTATGAAAACTCTTTTTCACCTTCAATTCAATACATCTTAGTACGTATTCATAACCTAAGAATAACAAAGTTACAAACTTTCATTATGAAAAACACGACTGTTTAATTATCAAAGATTCTACAATGGTGTAGTTTATTTATCGATTATCAGTTATAAAAATTGTTTTATTAATAAGGAAAATTTATTAAGTTTGAAATGCTAAAAATCATTAACTTCGATTTGTCTCTATCTTTAACTGTTTTTATCATATAGAACAGAAAAAATGAAAACAATTACTATTATCATATTTTCGTTATCGTACGATTATTGTTCATTAAATTATAAATTGTATGAGTTTTCATCAACAATATTATTAATTTGATCGGTCATATTTATAAAGAAGAAATTTTTTTATTTCATTGTATATAGAACATCTGAGATTGATGATTGAATCACTAGTTTATCTAATTGGCTATTCCATTCAGAATATCGAAATAAATTTGGTCTTTATTTAAGAAAATAACACAAATAGATGAATCATTAGCATTGATACAAACTCCATCAACAACACAACGTAGATTTCGTTCATTACAATTTATTAGTAAATATAAAGGAAGTGAATATCGATGTTTATTTCATTTTGGTTTAACAAGTCTTGTTCGACATATTAATGATAATGAATTGAAAAATCTATTATTTTCATTTGTATCAGCAATTAATCTTGCATCTTCGAATTATGTAACAGTTGAAACTATTGAAATTGTTGAAAAATTATTAAATTATTTCGTTCAACGCTTTCAACAAATATCTGGTATACGTCATATGAGTTCTAATATTCATTCTTTATTACATGTACATCAAGGTTTAAGTGTAATGGGACCATTATGGTTTTATTTAACATTTTCATTTGAAGGTAATCATATAACTTTTTACTTTTTTTAAAAGTTTTATTAATTTTTCTTATTATAGGTATTGATAAAGATTTGGTTAGCACAGTTCATGGTACAACTGAATTTGCTAAACAACTTATTCGACAACACATTTTATATCGCGATTCTCTAGTTCTTCATAAACATGAATCTTATCCATTGATATTGTTTACATTCAATGAAGAATTACTTGATCGAAAACAATCAAATATTCATTATAAAAATTTTGTTGACTCATGTTTTTTATCTAATCCAGTATCTAAAGATTTATATGATACAAGTGAAAATGGTATAGCCACACGTGTACAATCACTATTTAATGATGGTTTAATTTTCTATCATTCTTTGATAATATCAGGTGTTTTAATAAAGACTACTGTAACTGCTTACGGAAAATTAGTTGCTGACAGTTGTATCTCATTCAGTTTTGCCGATGATCAAGTAAAATATGGTCTTATTCGAGCAATTGTTCAATCAAAAAAAAACACCCTTCGTCTTTTCATCGAAGAACTTGTGGAAATTAAACCTGGAGCATCAAAAATTAAGTTTAATATTTCTAATGATCAATATCAAATACCTTATATTTTACAATTAAAACCATCAAAAATTTTCCATCTGAAGCATCCAAAACTTATTTTGAAAAAAAAACGCTTGTATATGTGAACCTGGTAATCGTGTTACTGTTTTAGAATATCCTAACTTAAAAGACAATAGTTAACAGATAAAAATCATTTTTATTATTAATAAAAATAAATTGTTTCTTTAAAAAAACTTCTCAAATCTAATTTTCTTAATATAATCTTCTGAAGTAGTGCTTCCTGTAACTAATAATTGGAACTTTTGATTTGTATTGATATACATCATTAAATAGTCTCTTAGTACATGAATTAATAATTTTTATTAAATAATATTATGAACTTCTCTGATCATTAATGTGTGAAAGACGTGTCAGGAAGAGCTAGATGTGTCACTGATGAAACATCAGCGTGTATGGTTCAACTGCTTGCCAAGCTAGGTATGTAACACAAAGTATGTATGTTCGAATCTAACCTTCACCGCTTTGCTTCTATAATTTAGACTAGTCTGGACGCCAACATCTGACTGACAAAAGAACGGATTTCAGACGGTATGAATGACTAGTAGTTGTGTAATGTGTAGCATGTAGTTAGCAATATGATTGATATGCACAATTATATTTTTCAATTTTTAAATATATCGGACGGGTGTCATGATGAACCGTCAGGACTAGTCCGGAGGCGACAAGAGGAGATACGAGACCATATATTTTTGTGACAGACTGGCGTCATGTTGCCGTGTCTTGACTAGTCATTCCCTTAAAAAGTGACCCCACATGACTAGTCTATTTCAACAACTATTACTAGTCTGGACTAGTCCTTTTTGCAAAAAATGACTAGACTATATTGAAATACTGACTCCCGTCTCTGGATTAGTCAGGACGCGGTGTACGGACTCCCAACAATATCAGACTAGTCATGTCTAGGTCGTTTTGAGAAAAAGACTAGTGAGTGACGGGGCGTCATGACTAGTAAAACTAACTAGTCTTTTTACCCGTCTTTTGCCCTCCTGGGTATCGTTTCATTTAGGGTGTGGGGTGTGAGTGTGGGTGTGGGTGTGTGGGTGTGGGTGTGGGTGTGGGTGTGGGGTGTGGGTGGGTGTGGGTGGGTGTGGGTGTGGGTCTGCTGATGCATTGTTGTCAACATCCACACCCACACCCACACCCACACCCCACACCCTATTCAACAACAAAAGCAGACTATAATATAAAGGTTATAGCTGAATAAAATATTATTGAACAAAAGTTGAATACATTAGAAGAGGTATATGTTTAACAACATATACTATATCAATCCATCTATACATGATATTCTCCTATTAGTTAAAGATAAATGAACACTATACCTATGAGCTGAAAGAAAAGGAAAGTACATCGGTACGTTGAGAGCATAGTTACATAAATTATATACACTCATCAAAAAAAGAAAAGAAAATACCAATACGTTGATGTGAGTGCAATAGAAATATATTGTAATAATGCGACTGTGATTCAGATACTTCGATATGAAAGGTCTGGAAAGAAATTATCAAATAAATCATAGTCATAACTTGATCTTTTAGTAGTTGTATTTTGTAAATTGATCTTACACCAACAATATCAAAAGTTTCTTTGAGTTGAATTGAATTGAGTTCGCAGGTCTCGAAAAAAATTTCTAATTCAATTTAATTCATAGGAATCTTTAATTGTATGGTCCATTTTAAATTACACATACACTCTTATCTACATCTTTATTCTATGTTTATTAAAAACCATGAAAGTTTCAAAAAAGTATATAGGGTAGTTCAAAAGTTACTTTACTGAAGAAATTGAAAATCTCTATCATACTTTGCTCAAATGATTTAATTTTTTTACGACTGATAAGAGAATGTTGATAGGTCATATTCATGAGAAAAACATTGACAAACAGCGCTTTGAAGTATCATCGTTAATCTCAATAAAGAATTGTAACCTTTCACAACTTATGAAAAAGCAATGTAATGGGTTCTTTATCCAAAAGTAAGCTATACATAGTTTTTTTTCTATTAATTCTTGATAGAAATGTCGTTTGATGTAAAATTTATATCATAGATACACATCTTCTTACTCATTTTATCCTGAAATTTTCAGCTATAAACAGTAAGAATTTGTTACGAAAACTGAAATATAGTTCTTTCATAAATTATGAACGGGTTACAATTCTTTATTGAAGTCAATGATGATAATTCAAAGCAGTGTTTGTCAATATTTCTTTATGAATATGATCTATCAACACTCTGTTATTAGTTGTAAAAAATCAGCTCATTTGATGAAAATATAGCAGAGATATTCAGACTTTTTTCTTTTGGAATACGACTTTTGGATCGTCCTTGATATCTCCTCAGTTATCTCTGTTGTGTCTTACATAAATTCATTATTTCTTGTTGATTTTCTTTTCTTTTCTTATCTTTAGCTGCATCTGAAAACAGATACAGATTTAGCTGTGCAATGTTTTCTTTCCAAAACGATAATGTATGAATTGGTTCTCTTCCTACGCTTTCTTCTTCTCCTTTCGAAGAGTATCCTAATGGAACACATTTCTTTTCTGTCTCTTTCATATCACGTACATACATACTTATTTACTTTTTTGTCCTGTAATGTTGAATTAGTCGTTATTCCGATATTACAGTTTTTATTCTTTCGTTGCCATATTTGGTACTTAGAGAAGCATATGCACTAGAACTCCCCGTGAAATAAGGTGGGACAGAAAAAATGCTCCCATGAAATGTCATATTCGTCAATTAGTTGTTGAAAAAATGAAATTCAATGGTACATTTATCGGTTTGGCTAATTATATAAAATATTATATCACTGAAAGAAATCTGAAAGTAGTGGCAGAGATACTTTATTTTCGTATAGAATGCTTCAGGAAACTTTCTCTTTATATATAACCATACCAAAAACAATGCTCTATTTTTCTGTGATATTTGATCATTCTTTAACTAATATCATAATAATAAAATATCGATAAGAGTTATTCGTCATAATATGTGATGATAAAATTAGATCATATTGTCTTCGATATATATTTTCCATTTGCACTTATTTTTGTGGATGTTGGTATGCTCTTCTCTCATACCCACGTCACACATACTGCTACAATACATAACCCTTTACAGAATAGAACAAAATTCTATTTTCGTTAACTCTAATGCGGTAGACAAGAACACAATCTATACGACAAAAATAGTTATATCTTTCCTTATAAAGAATGTTTGTATAAGTGGCTGTTTGTCTCATGGGACTTTCCTATCCCATGCGAAGCTCTGACATGTATAAATATCATTCGCACGCCGCAGACATAGATATACAAAATCACACATATTTATATTAAAATTGTTGTAACGCTATTGACGGAGGTATGTTTGAACATTATCTTTCTGTTATTTAGCTATTAGGAATGAGGAATATTATGATTGATTGATTTTACTGTTTAGAAAAACAAGTACTATTACAAATCACAACAAATTTTCAGCATCTGACTAACTGTATTGTTCTAAGAACACGCTTCTTACTGACGATCAGTTTTCTTTTTTTTTTGTATTGAAATATGATTCATTTCTTTTCGTTGTACGAACACAAGATAATTGAAGTACATTTCCTTCTTAGCGATGTATTAGACAAAACAACTTTTTAATTATGAACTGTCATCACGACTATCAAAAAATGACTGTTTTTTCAAGAGACAAAATAGAAGATCTCTTGTAAATTATGAACGATGAGGCTCTAAGTCTGTTAATATATAGAGGACTTTGGATATTTCAAAGATGACAAGAATGTTTTTGACATAGCTTGATTCCTGAGTGATGACACGAGAATGTCGGAAAAGCCTTCTGTTGTAAATAACGAGTCAATAGTCATTAGATCTGATAGAGCTCTGAATGTTAATCATACATGAGCGATCAAAACCTAAACTCGTTTATAACTTGACAGAATCATATAAACATTCCACTTAGCCAACTAAAGACACGCATAAAGTATTTCATGGCAGACTCCACCTGAAACGAGTTTGACTCTGTCCCAAAATAGTATGTGTAGACATAAAATTTGATCGTAATCATATGTTGAAAGACTCAGAGCTAATTATATTCACATTACGTCACTCTATTATCATCCAATTGTCCGACTCCTTTGGAATATCTTACCTGGTAGTTACAAATGGATATTGACTATTTTTTGAATGTAATTAAAATTTTTTTCCAACAGACACATACATCATCTGTTCCTTTTTGCCATATAGTAGTACTAATACTGGAACTTCTTGCCTTGATTATACGACAAAAATAACTGCTTTAGACATCGTTTATCAAGATGAAGTTGTGCTCATTGGACAGAAGACAGAACAAGTCGAGTTGCATTCTTCTCTCATCCACCTCTCAAAATAGTATGATTAGGTCAATCATTTTTTTGTCATCTTTGGAAGAACAATATAGTCTATTCAACTTAGTTTCCTTTGAGAAGGCATTTCGATATAAATGTCTTCAATTCAGCATCCAAACAACTATCAAGATTTATAGTAAAAACTCAGAAAAGCATCTCAAAATAGTGGATACTAGAAGCTGCTATGGTATTGGTCGAGTACTAAATTACTAAATAACCTGAGTTTGGTACTGTCAATTTGAAACATAGAAATATGTTTTTGCTTGTATCTATATAAAAAACCGAGGAAGAAACAACAGAAACCTTGGTTGTGAAGTCCCATGAAGTTCCTTGCAGTCTCATGAGGTCTTCTGAGGTATTTGACATACATTTAGTGCATGGAAAGTTCATAAGACAACTAATGAGATTGTCTAGTTTTCAATGCTTGTATTTTACCAGAAAGGTGAATTTTTATTATTTTGTCAATGTGCTGGAAAATTTCAAGTTCTTTTGACCTCAAAAAACATCATACAGGGTGGCGCAAAAGTCGGTATACCGAAAAAAATTGAATATCTCCATTACAGCTCAGGCAAATGAGCTGATATTTTTATCAATGATAGAAGCATGTTCAAAGTCTATATCCATAAAGACATGCTCAGAGAAATCCTTTGTTAAGTATAACTATTGATCTTAACAAAAAAAATTTTACTTT